TCGGCAGGTACATAGAAGTTGCCAGCTTTTCTTCCCATCCTCGCCATTCGAATCTCAGTTCTGTACATCTGCCTGTATTCCTTGTGATAGTGTTTAGCTTTTTCATAGATGAGCTTCCTCCTTGTCTTTCAAAGGATCTTTTGGGCAAACTTCTTTCTCAGGCACTTGATCTTCAGCTCTGCGAAATTCCTTCGCTTTTCTTGAGGGTTTCTGGCATAGCAGAACCTTCTTCTTCTTCTCTTCGGCACCCTCCATGGTTCTAGCCAGAAAAGAGCAAAACTTCTTTTTTTTTAAAAAAAAAAAATATTTTTATTGATTTTTAGAGAGAGAAAGGGAGAGGGAGAGATAGAAACATCGATGAGTGAGAAACATCAATTGGCTGACTCCTTCATGCCCCCTCCTGGGGATCAAGCCCAAACTCAACCTGGGCATGTGCCCTGACCAGGAATTGAACCAGTGACCTCTTGTTTCATGTGTCGATGCTCAAGTACTGGGCCACACCGGCTGAACAAAACTTTTAAGGATCAGGCATGTAACTTGGATCACATGAACAGAGGTGAATTGGGACCTACTTCAGTTTGTAGATACTGAAACGGAAAAATTCATTTGAACAACAATCAATTAAAATGAAACAATCAAGCACTAGGTGATAGTGTAACACAAAGTAGAGAAGTCAGTTTGACTTTAATCTCAACAAAGCAAAAATAAAATAAAATTATCCACTTCTTACCCATCTCTCTCTCTTGAATTTCTGAACATTTTTACTTTCTTATAAAGAAAACCGTCTGATATAAGGGAGTGTTCCCTGATCTTTGATGAAAAGTTCCCCCAAAACAGAGTGATATAAACATACTTGCTATTTAAAAAGATCACTCCACCCTGGCCTGTGTGGCTCGGTGGTTGAGCGTGGACCCAAGAACCAAGAGATTGGGATTCAATTCCTGATCAGGGCACATGCCTGGGTTTCAAGTTCAATCCCCACGGCCTGCAGGAGGCAGTCAATCAATGATCTTTCTGTATCATTGATGTTTCTGTCTCTATCCCTATTCTTCCCTCTCTCTCTAAAAAAGTCAATAAAAACATATTAAAAAGAAAAAAGATCATTTGGGCTACTTTATGGTGAATTGAGAGGAAAACAAGAGTGGAATTGGGAAATCGCAGTTTTTCAGGTGATAATGGTGGAAATTAGGAGTTATAAACAATAGGACTTGGTGATTAATTAGGTGTCAAGGGTAAGGAACAGGAAGAGTCAAAGATAATTGTTAAATGTGGCTAGAATTTTCCACAAAGGCATTAAGCAGAAATAGTGGAAAACCTCTCAGGCTTTGCAGGACAAGGACCAAAAGGAAAGTTTGTTTCGGTGTTGGCACAATAAAAAGTCAAGGCCTATAACCTGCCCATTACACCTGGGTGTAATTACATCATGTGGCTCACTGAGTGCATTTAATGGGCTCTGATACATGTGGTGTGTGCCACTTCAATTCTAATCCGGAGAACATTTTATTCAATCTGGCCATTATGCCCACTGTACATTAGACACAGCTTTATGAGGTACAAGGGAACGAGTAAGAAAATGCTCCTCAACTGTCTCTTTAGCCCATGTTTACCCTTTACTCAGCTGATTTGTGGCTTTAGAAGTAAATTGAGGCAAAAATAGCTGAACTAAGTACAACCTCAAACCTAAACCAGTGTTTCTGCCTTGAGCACGTGACGATGTAGCTGAGGTTGCTACTGTTTGAGATGGGGGACATAGTGGAGGAGGACGAGGCTTTTTGTATATTGTTCTTGCTGTAATTGCAATTACTGCAGCTGTGGGAGAGGTAAAGTTCAGTCTTGGATATGATGACTTTTAAGGTGGCTTTCATACTCCAAGTGGAAATAGAAACTAGACCATTGCATGTCTGGGTCCAGATCACAGAAGAAAGTTGTGGGCTAAACATCAAAATCTCAGAAACCTCAGATAGAAAATTGAATTTATGGGCATGAATGAGATCACCTAGGGAGATAGTATAGTTAGAAGATAAGAGGGCTAAGAACTGAACCCTGAAAAAACCGTATTTGTTAAGGACAGTGAGCAAGCTTAGAAGAAAGATATATATAGCAGAGTAGGTAAGAGAAGCATGGTGTCTGAATACGAAGAGAGAGTATTTCAAGGAAGGCGTGATCAACAGTGTCAGATGCTACTGAGAATCATGTAAAATGAAAACCAGTGGTAAAATGAAACCACTAGATTTAGCAATCAAAGGTTATTGATGGCCTTAGTGAAAGTAGTTTTGGTAGAGTGGTGGTAGCTTAAGCCAAATAGAAAGTTTTAGGGCATGCCTGTAGGGAAGGAGAGAACACCAAATTTAGACAACCTAGAGAAGTTTAACCTGGAAGGGGTGAAGAGATATTAAAAGAAACATTTCAGGAAGTCAGGAAAGAGAAAGCGAAGTAGTAAATGTATAAGTGTTAATTGTCCCTCATATTTAAATCCCTTATGCCTTTATTGATCACATGAAAGGCACATGGCAAGGAACTGAGAATTGAGAATAGGAAACAGTCTCTCCCCTTAAGGTGCTCAAAGTTTAATAATAAGAGAGAGAAACAGATCAATAATTATGTATAAAGACAGTGCAATAATAGAAGTGTTAGACTTAGTGGTAGAATACTGGTGGTAGTGGAGAGTAGGCTTATTAAGGAGATCAGAGAAGACTTGAAAGTAACATTTAAACTGAGTTATGGTTTTTTTAAAAAAATATATTTTATTGATTTTTTTACAGAGAGGAAGGGAAAGGAATAGACATCGATCAGCTGCCTCCTGCACACCCTCTACTGGGGATATGCCTGCAACCAAGGAACATGCCCTTGACCGGAATCGAACCCGGGACCCTTCAGTCCACAGGCCAATGCTCTACCCACTGAGCCAAACAGGTTAGGGCTGAGTTATGAATTCTTAAGTGTTTGCTAGGATGACTATGAGAAAGACATCTCTGATAGAGAGAAAAGCATAGCTTATTGGAAAACTACATGTAGCCTTTAAAGATCATGGGTTCTTGGAATCACAATGTTAATTTATATATAAATCCTGCCTCCAACATTACCGGCTCCTCACCTATAAAATGAAGGCTGATAATTCCTATTGCATAGGGTTTTAAGGAGGCTTAAAAGCTGTGAAGCACTGAATTCAGTGGCTTATACTTAGCAAATAATCAATACAGTACATATTAATTCTTGTTATTACTGTAGGATCTAAAATGCAAATAGAGTGGCAGGGTATAAGGCTAAGGAAGATAATCAGGATGATCTGTCATGAGAGATTTGTGACAAAAGTCAGCATTGCTCCCAGCATTAATTGAATCAAACTAGAACAAGTATCGAAAAACAAACTGGTCAGGCTTAATTCAACTAAAAAAAAAGTCTTCAGGAAGCATCTTAATTATAATCTCCTGTTGATGATGCCTAAGGCAACAAGTATGTATAAGTAAGTATCTTACTGGCTACTAATTAGGTAGCTGATTGCTAACCTCTAATTGTTCAATTTGCAATTTTTTTTTTTAACATTACAACATGATGTTGTACAATGTGTTATTTCCCATTAAGATTATCCCTAAACTTCAGTTTTCTAATATTTTTTCTTTATATATTTTGGTATTTTTTTAAAAAAACAAACTGGTAGTATGGCAATTCTTTGATTTTAGTAAAAAGGCTATTTCGGCTCTACCACTAAAACACACCAGAGTTAAGCTATCACTTAGGGTAGCTGACCTTGAGAGCTGGACAAGGGCATTTTAAGGGCAGAGTTAGACTCCACAAAAAGCTGCAGGTGGATCTAAGGAAATATGCATGAGGCTCCTGTCCTTTTGTTAGTTTGAATGGGTAGAGGTTTCTCGAGTCCCCAGAGTCAGCGACTTATCTTTTAGATATTTATCCTCAGGGAGCCTTATTCTTTTCTTTTCGGAATAGTTCACCTTCTCAGTTATGTGAACAATACTCTTTGCAGAAGGATTTTTTTTTTTTTTGCCTTGAAAAGACAAGTCTGTCACCTGGAGTACTGCATTTAACCTGTTTTTCAAGTTAAGATAACCATCCTGATACCTTCATTTAGCCATTTTCCACTCCTGATGAACCCAAGTGTAATCTTTGCAATGGAATCGTCAATGATTCTGTATGTGACATGGCATGTGTTAAGGCTGTTTTTGTATTTGGTATGATCTGTGTTCCCTCCGTGCGTGTTCCTCAGGTCCCCACTCTTCCGATGGTCGGAGCCTCCGTATTATTCATGGTAGCAAAAATACCTCGCGAGGCCCGAGCTCCTCCCAGGGTGTCTCATCGCCAGGCTGGTCCACGATCAGCACGCGGAGACGGTCTGTGAGGGCCGAGCAAGCTCCTTCAAGCCGCGGCGGGACTTTTCAAAGTTGTTGCGTTTTTTTGCGCGTTTTTTTTTTTTAAAGAATTTTTGTGAGTTAATTTGAGCTAAACTGTCGACAATCTGCCAGGAAGCAGAATCTCAACATAATGTTGTTTTGTTGTTGTTGTTTTGCACAAGATCTGCAACACCCGTAACCCAGTGCGCAGTACATAACCCAGTGAATAGAAACTGTAAACCAGCTATCCGACATCCCCCGACATTTTGTGCTCTATTCACATAAAAACGTCTCCCCGTCCAGGCAGACGCCAGTTACTAAATGGATGCTGCGAACCACGAACGGGTGGTTAAGACTGCGGGAAGTCGCTCCTGTACGCTGCCTGTCGCAGCCGCTGGGAAAGGCGGCGCTCGCGGCCGGGAAGGCGGCGGCCCCAGGCCCGGCGCCGAGCTCCCCCGCGCTCCGCCCCGGGACCGAGCGAGCGTTCCTCCGGGGAGAGCGGCCGCGCACGGCCCGGTGGATGATGCCGGGCTCGGCCCTTCCCCTGCCCTCCGGCCTCCCCCGAGTCCGCCCCGCCCCTCTCCCTCCCCGGCGAAGTGGGCCGAGCGCCGAACGATCGATGCTTCCTCCACGCCCCGAAGGCCGCCATTTTGGGGGGCGGAGGAACGCTAGGAGCGGCGGCCGGGGTTCAGCGGGATGCTCACAGGCTTCTGCTTCTCTTGCCAGCGCTGTGGGGCCGGGACAGCAGGACCCGCCACGGGCGCCCCTCCGGCGGCCCCTCCGGCGCGGGCCCGCCACGCCCGGCCGAGAGTGAGTGACAGCGGGCGGCGTCCCGCCCCCGCGCGCCCAGCTGTCAGTTACCCCGCGCGCTCCCGCCGCTCCCCGCGGGGCTCGGCGCCCAGCGCGGACTCGCTGGTTTGTTTCTGCAGGAGCGTCAGGAGAGGCCCGAGCCGAGACCATGCCTGGGAAGCTGAAGGTGAAAATCGTGGCCGGGCGCCATTTGCCAGTGATGGACCGAGCTAGTGACCTGACTGATGCCTTCGTGGAGGTTGGTGCAAGGTCCTGCTGCTCAAAACTCAGGGCGCGCCACGCCCTCGAAAGGACCCTACCCATCTCGGCCCCCGCCCCTCAACCCATTCCCCTCCCGACAGTGGCGAGTGCCCTGCTCGTCCCGCCCTCCCGGAGGGCTGTCTGCCGAGACTGCAGCCCAGGTGGAGGGTGTGCGGCTCGCAGGCGTCCGCGGCACCGTGCGCCGCGCGGGGTGGCTGTTACTGCTCCGCATGCTGGGGTGACGCCGATGTCAGGGCTCATCACAGGCCACCTGCCAGGCAGGAGGTGCCAGGCGTGGCCGCGGGGCCACCGAGATCCAGACGCGCGCGCACGCGCACCCGCGCCCTTTTGGGGGTGGGGTGGGGTGGTGTGGGGTGGGGGGGAGTTGGAGATGATCAAGAATGTAGATAACAGTCCGAATAGGCACTTTGGAGACCTACGAGGCTAGGAGATCCACTCTTTACCGTAGCCTTGTCTGAATTGTCATTGTAAATTCTAAAACACTTCCTGCTCTTGTCTGGACTGGTAGGTCTGAAAAAGCTGTTTTAGGGTAATATAGTGCCTTGGGGTAGGAAGTCAATTAAGTGCTATGGATATTTAAATTGCAAAACTGCCCTTTAAATTTAATGATTGGTTTATAACTCATGCAAATTATCACAGGCCTAGGGCCCCGGAAAGTAATAAGCCAATGCATGAAAGAAGCCAAGTAAAAATTGTAATAAAAATTGACATGATGAGCCAGAGGATTAGAACCGTAATCATTTGACCCTATTAATGCAGGGAGTTGATAGATACATGATAATATATAGCTTGATTTTTATCTCTATAAAATATTCTTTTTTTAAAAAAAATATATTTTATTGATTTTTTACAGAGAGGAAGGGAGAGGGATAGAGAGCCAGAAACATCGATGAGAGAGAAATATCGATCAGCTGCCTCCTGCACGCCCCCCACTGGGCATTTGCCCGCAACCAAGGTACATGCCCTTGACCGGAATCGAACCCGGGACCCTTGAGTCCACAGGCCGACGCTCTATCCACTGAGCCAAACCGGTTCTGGCAATATAAAATATTCTTTTTTTAAAAAAATATATATATATTTTTATTGATTTCATAGAGGAAGGGAGAGGGAGAGGGAGATAGAAATATCAATGATGAGAGAGTCCTAACCAGTTTGGCTCAGTGGATAGAGCGTCAGCATGCAGACTGGAAGGTCCCAGGTTCATTCTGGTCAAGGGCACATCCCCAGTAGGGGGCGTACAGGAGGCAGCCGATTAATGATTTTCTCTAATCATTGATGTTTCTGTTTCTCCTCTCCGTGCCTCTCTGAAATCAATAAAAATATTTTTAAAAAATGATGAGAGAGACTCATTGATTGGCTGCCTCCTGCACACTCCCCCAGTGGGGTTGAGCCCAAAACCTGGGCATGTGCCTTGACCGCAATCAAACCCACGGAGGTCAGGCTATAAAATATTCTTGATGTTTCATAAAGGTTCTCTAACCTAATAACTGCGATGTTGCCCCCAAACATTGCTGTGGTAATTCTCAACCTCAACTTCGTTTGGGAAGTAGTTACTGAGTGTGTTCTTGGGCCAGATGTTAGGTAATGGGGATACACAGATTTCCAAGGCATAGCCTTTGCTTTCAGGTAGCTCAGAGACTGGCGTATAGTTTAGCTTAATACCTAACAGGTATTGAGTCTTTTTATTGACAGATCTGTGCTAAGTACTTTTAAATTAGCTTTCAAAATGGTCCTGCCCTGGCCTAGTGGCTCAATTGGTTGGACCGTTGTCCCGTACACCAAAAGGTTATAGGTTTGATTCCTGGTCAGGGCACATACCTAGATTGCAGGAGAAGTGATAAGGACTTAAGCCTTTATAGTCTATGCAGTGATGGCGAACCTATGACACGTGTGTCAGAGGTGACACACGAACTCATCTTTTTGGTTGTTTTTTTTTGTTAAATGGCATTTAAGTATATAAAATAAATATCAAAAATATAAGTCTTTGTTTTACTATGGTTGCAAATATCAAAAAATTTCTATATGTGACACGGCACCAGAGTTAAGTTAGGGTTTTTTAAAATGCTGACACGCGGAGCTCAAAAGGTTCGCCATCACTGGTCTAGTGTGTTAAAGAGGGTTAAAGAATATGGAAGATGAAGAAGTAGGAGTGGTATGAATAGGCAACTGTTTCAGGAAATATGAAGGGGAGAGGAAAAATAGTGTGGTATCTGGGAGGAGTACAAAGTTTTTGGTACTAAAAAAAGTAAGTTAGAAGATAATAGAACATAATTGTGTGCTAATAGGAATAATCCAGCAGGAAGGGAAAGATTAATGCAGGAAAAAGAGGATAATGAAGGATTATAATTTAATAAAGGGATAAATTGTATGATGTAGACTGTAAGTACTTTATAAGCTCACTAGAGGTCTGATGCACGAAATTTGTGCAAGGTGCTTGTCCCCTCCCCCCAACCCCCCCCCCCCCACCGCTGCTGCGAGGCTGCGTGCCTCTGCCTCCAGCCCTGCCCTCCATAGCTTTGTCTGGAAAGAAGGACATTCGGAAGGACGTCTGGTATAATTAGCATATTACACTTTTATTATTATAGATTATAGATAGGAGAGGGACATAATGAAGCCTGGGCTGGTGATGAGAAATCTTTGAGCTGGATTTGAAGAAGGGTAAAATTTCCACAGGCAGAATGGAAAAGGGAGCATTTTTAGATGAATAGGACAAATTTGGTAAAAGCAAAGGCAAGATAGAGCATATATAACTGAAGGCTGGGTTTATGTTAAATAGAAGTGGGAAATAAAATTTGGCTAGGTAGGTGGGCATACAGACCACCGAGTGGTCTGAAAGCTAGAAAGAATAGTCTTCAGTAGAAATTCTCTTAACCAATTTCCATGAACTGACTCGTTACAGTCCCCAGTGCTCTGCATTCCTTCCACAGGCACATTCTTCAATACTCTACGCAGTTAAATTATTCTCCAGTGTACCTGTGGACCTGCCACCCATCGGTTGGCTGATGTACTTTACCAAGAGGCAGTTGTTTCTGCAAATTCTATAATTGTAATTTACTTAAATCTATACATTAGTGAAATAAACTGATAAATGCTACATAACGACTTATGGATACAGTCACTAAAAATTACTCTGAACTAGATGAAAATTGTAAAAATTCTAGGATTCTATGTTCATGGTTTTTTAAAAGCAATTTTTAAGTTCTACCACTACATTTTCAAGAAATTCAAACTGGCAGTTACAGATGATACATTATGGGTGCAGAAGAAGATGATGTACAACTCTAAAGAATGGACCCTTAGTCAGTTTTACACTAAAAGATAGAGGAATGGCCCTAGCCAGTTTGGGTCAGTGGAGAGAGCATTGGCGCACGGGCTGGAAGGTCCCGGGTTCAATACTGGTTGCAGGCTAAATCTTGTGTGTGAGGCAAATGGTTTTCTGTGTAAGGAAAGTATTAATGGAAATAATATTTCAGTGTTACAAACTGTTCTGCTGAACTACACGATCATTTTGTGTTTATCCAGGAGCCTTTAGGGAATAGGGAGAGGAAAAGAAATTATTGTTAAATGAGTATTTTCTTTGTATCAGACATTTTGCTAGATCTCTCAATGCATTACCTCATGTAATGCTCACAGCAACCCCCTTTTTCAGAGGAGGTAGCAGCCTTAAATAACCTTCTCAAGGTAATTTAGCTAATGAGTGGGGAAAGAGAACACTTGTACTTTACTAGGTAATCTCATTAAAATCCCTGATGTTCTTTAACAAAGTTGTAAGGCATTCACTTAACTGCTGAGTAATAAAATCTCCTTTGACTTAAATAAGACCAAATGGACTGTGATTCTTTAGTAGAAGGGGAATCATCACAATATTGGCAAAATACACACTCTAGCCTTTTTTCTTCTTCTAAAATCTTGGTTTTTGTTTGTTTAATGCAGTGTGGGGACTGTCTTATCTTTACTATATCCAAAATGGACAGTTGGCCAAAAAAAGTGCAATATAGTACTACAGTATAGTGGGATAAAACTGAAGGGGGTTTTAAATTAGAACCTAAAAAATAATATGCTATTTTTGGCAATGGAACCACAACCCTTAAGTACATATGGCTTTTGAATGGTTTTAAAAATCCTAAGTACATTTTACTTCAAATAAAGCAGTTTTTAGGTAAATTAGATATTAAGTATTTCTTAGATATTTTGAATATTGAAATGTATTGAAAATTAAATTAATAAATGAGCAGTAACCTCTATCCTTTTCCTGCATTAAGTTTCTTTTTTTTTTTAAATTGAAATTTTGGGGATAACATTCGTTCACAAAAACCATATAAGTTTCAAGTGTACAACTCAACAAAACATCTGTACACTGCATCGTGCAACCATTGCCCAAAGCAAAGTCTTTCTGTCCCCATTTATCCCCCTTTGCCTACCTTCACCTACCTATCCCACCCTCCCTTTCCTTCTGTCTATCCCCACATTGTTGTCTGTGTGTTTATATATGTGTTTTTTTGCTTAATCCCTTCACCTGCTTGCATCCAGCCCTCCAACCCTGCCTCTGTTTCTATTTTGTTCAGTTTATTTTGTTCATTAGATTCCACATATAAGTGAGATCATATGGTATTTGTCTTTCTCTGACTTGCTCATTTCACTTAGCATAATGCTTTCCAGGTCCATCCATGCTGTTGCAAAAGGTATGATTTCTTTCTTTTTTACAGCCAAGTAGTATTCCATTGTGTAAATGTATTACAGCTTTTTTTTAATCCACTTATCAATTGATGGGCTGTTTCCAGATCTTGGCTATTGTAAATAATGCTGTTGTGAACATAAAGTGCATATATTCTTTCAAATTGGTGTTTTGGGAGTCTTTGGATATATTCCCAGAAGTGGGATCGCTAGGTCAAAAGGCAGTTCCATTTTTAATTTTTTGAGGAAACTCCATACTGTTTTCCAGTGGCTGCATCAGTCTGCATTCCTACCCAAAGTGCCTGAGGGTTCCCTTTTCCCCACATCCTTGCCAGTGCTTGTTTGTTAACTTATTGATGATAGCCATTCTGACAAGCATGAGGTGATTATCTCCTTGTAGTTTTAATTTGCCTCTCTCTGATGATTAGTGACGTTGAGCATTTTTTTCATATGTCTGTTGGTCATCTGTATGTCCTTTTCGGAGAAGTGTGTCTATTCTGGTCCTTTGCCTATTTCTTAATTGGGTTGTTTGTTCCCCCATTAAGTTTCATTTCTTTAACATTTGTAATTTAAATTAAAAAAAATTACACAAGAAATACTCTAACAGCTCCCATTACAAAAAACTTGAATACTCAGAAATAAAACTTGAAAGCTCCTTACTACTTTCTTATTACATCGTATTGTATTGCCTACACCCTGTCAGGCCCTTCTTCAGAGATAATTGCTGTTACATATTCTACTACTTGTTTTTTTCAGTTATGTCATTGATATTTTTCCATGACAATACATATGATCAACTCCCTTTTTCATTAGGATTCTTTAGTTATTTATTCAGTCACTTCCCTGTTGAATGACTGTGTAGTTTTTTGTATCATTTTAAATTTTTTAAATTTATCAATTTAAATTTAAAATGATTCATTTAAAAAATAGGTAATATATGTTCATGGTTCATAATCCAAAAGGTAACAAAGTGAGTCAGCCTCTCATTGCCTTTCCTTTAACAAAGCAGTCTGTTCTGTTCTTTGTAGTGGCCACTATTAACATTTCTTATATATCCCTTTAGAAATAATCTGTACATATGAAGGCATATGTTATTTGCCATAACATTTTGTCATATTTCTCTGCAAATTATGCCATACATACTGTTCTGCAATAGTAAGATATATCTTGAACATTGTTCCGTACTAGTGCTTGCAAACTGCTTCATTTCTTCTGTTTAGGACTGCCTTGTGTGGCTTTACCATATATAATTTAACCAGTTCCAAACTGATGGATATCTATGTTGTTTCCAATCTTTTGCTATTATAATGCTGCGTATATGCATTATACATCCTTTGTACATCTGAATGTAAAGGATATAGCCATTTAAAGTTTTGATATGTATTGTCAAACTGTAGTCCATTGAGATGGTTCTAATTTACACTCATTGATCATCTCTTGACATATTTAAGACATTTATTTTTTCATTTCTTTTAATTGTTTATTCATGTCCCTTGTCCATTTTTCTGTTGGTTTATTGATATTTTTCTCATTGGTTTATAGGAACTCATTAAAAATTGAGTAAATTATTTTTTTATGATGTATTTGGTAAATATTTTTTCTCCGTTTCTTATTTATCTTTGATTTTGCCAAATTATCATGCAAGAAGGTATTATTTTTATGTCATTTTTAAAACTTTTTTATCCTCTAACTAAACTGCCTAGGTACCACATGGTTGCTATCATTCCCAATCATTCCAATTGAGTGATATAATAACTAGAAAAATATACAGAAGATAAAAAAATAGTTTTGGATATTTTGCTTTTAGAAAATTTCCTGGATTGATTAAAATTAATACCTATAAGTATTATAATACCAAAAGTAGGATTGTAGTAAAAAAGGAAAGGAGATTTTATAGATTATCTGATTGAACCAGCATTTCCTACATACTTGTAGTATGCAAAAAACTCTGTGCTGGGTATTGTGATAAAGAGGATATAACCTTTAGTGAATTCTGAGATTATGAAAGGTGATAACTGATGGAATTAGGGAAGGGTTGAAGAGATTAAATTTAGGAAAGGTGAAGTAGTTGCCTAGCTATTTTGCTCGTAAGCTTCCTGACCACTTCATAAGTCATTTGAGGTTTCACAGTTTCCATTCTTTGCTGGAAACAAGTTCCAAAGATTTAGCTTGCTTCCCGCCACCTTTGTTTCTTTTTATTTACTTACTAGAGGCCCAGTGCACAAATTCGTGTACAGGTGGGGTCCCTCAGCCTGGCTGGCCATCGGGGCCATTGGGGCCGTGGGAGGTTGGCAGGCGGGGGGAGGGGCCATGGGAGGTTGGCTGTGGGAGTGCACTGACCACCAGGGGGCAGCTCCCGCATTGAGCATCTGCCCCCTGGTGGTCAGTGCGTATCATAGCAACCGGTCAACCAGTTGTTTGGTCGTTTGGTCACTTAGGCTTTTATAAATAAATAAATAAACAAACAAACAAATAAATAAATATATAGGCTTTTATATATATATATCTTTGTGACTCAGTGTTTGCAAGTCTTTCCATCCAACCAACCCCTTTCATTGTCCTTAAAGATGAGAACATATAATAAAAGCCTAATATGCAAATTGTCCCCTCGACTGGGAGTTTGACCAGGGGGTGGGCTGGCCGGCAGTGGTGGCAGGCAGCCGGTGGAAGGGAGGCCCCGGCTGGCAGCCGGCTGCCGACAGCCAGCAGCCACTAGGGACCCTTCCCGTGTATGAATCATGCACTGGGCCTCTAGTGAGAATATAAAACCCTTACTGACCATACTTTATTGCTGATCCCTGTGTGTGCACAGATAAGATATTTAAAAATATGTATGGGGAAGTCAGAAGATACAACAGGGATCTATTACTGAGTTCTTGTAATAATGAGCTGTAGTTCTAAATTCCCTTGCTGATATGCCAGAGAAAGCTATCCTTTCACCTTCTGATTTTATTTTTGCTTATCCCCCACCCTTAAAACTCTCTTTTGTCTGACCTCTTGTTTAGTGAAGGGCATACTGATTCCTTTTTCCATATGACATAATGGTCTGTGTTTTAATTTTCTTACAAAGCTAGTCAAGCAGAATAGTGGGTAATCCCTTGGACCAGGTGTAGTCTATAAGCTTACCAGGAACTATCCACACTTTCTTCTTTTTGGCTCAGGGGATAGTTGTCTTTTTTCCTCTCCAATGTTAACCCTCTCATTGCTTGGCTCACATTAAATTTTATTTATATTCACATATTTGGTATCTGTATTTGATTATTTTTTATTTGTTTTTAGGTAAAATTTGGTAATACCACCTTTAAAACAGATGTGTATCTCAAGTCCCTCAACCCTCAGTGGAACTCAGAATGGTTTAAATTTGAGGTAGGTTTTTAAATGTTAGCATTTTTGGTGTGTGTTTTTTGAGGTGACGCTTTCCCTAGGAATGATAAGAACACCTTTTATTTCAGGGACAGTAGTTTTCCTGTAACATAAAAATGTTTCTTAGGAATATTGCACTTAAAAAATTATGTTACAGTTAAGAAAATATAAATATATGTAGGAGAACCCAGATTAAAAAGGCATTATAATAGTATATAGTAATTTCTCTGAATTTTAGCATATATCAGAAATCGCTTAAGAACAATTATAGTTCCTCTCTTTGGCACAGTGCTTGGCACATGATAAGTACTTGATAATGAGTAAACAGAAGGAGAGAGAGAGGGTAGACATTTATTTTATGAGCTTAATTCAAGAACTTAAGTTGTTTTTTCTTACAAATAATGTTAGTTTTGCTTATAGTTTTATTCTCTGAAGTTGTCCTTGGAAATTATGCTGTCATTGTGCTCATTAGCATCCTTACTCTGTAGTTAATATATGGACTCTGTTAGGATATTCCTAAAGCATTTTTGCTGGAAACCATTGGTAGAGTAGTGAAACACAGGATAATATGCAGAAAAGAAATTAAAACTTTTTTTTTTGGTTAATTATCCTAACTCTGTGCTTGAGGCAAACTTTACATCTGCATCTTGTGTAGAAAATTGAGTTACAATTTTTTGTTTGTATATTAATTGGATTTTCCTCCCCAGAAATAAGTAATCTTTTACATTCACTATACAAATTTACATTTACATTTATGATAACGAAGATTTTTAAATTTTAAGATTTAATTTAAAGTATGCTTTTAGGTGGATGATGAAGATTTACAAGATGAACCTCTACAGATCACAGTTCTTGACCATGATACTTATAGTGCAAATGATGCCATTGGTAAAGTGTACATTGATATTGATCCTTTACTCTACAGTGAAGCTGCAACAGTCATCTCAGGATGGTTTCCAATTTATGATACCATACATGGTAAGGAGTATATTTTAAGAAAATAAATCACAGTCTTTTAAATTTATCCTTAAAGACTATTATGTACACTTTGTGGTTTTAAAATTTATATTTTTAAAAGATATCTCCTTTTTAGACTTAGTAGTAATGTATTATTGGTAGAATTGTTTATTTTCTGAACATAATTTGAAACAATTTTCTGAGTTAAATTTGTACAGTACAGCAAGTATATGCATTATTTAAAAATCATCTCATATTTGTATTCTGTGTTCCTAAAACAAACTATCAAACTGTATTCCATTAAGCTAGATGTTATAGAGATTTGCAAAAATGCAACACAGTGCCACTCATTACTTTTTTTCCAAATATAGTTATTTTTATAAAAAATATTGCTTATATTAACAGATTCATTATTACTTTCAATGGAGTAATAAGCAAATACTTTTTTAAATTCTCAGTTTTAACTTATAATATGGTAAATATTGATAGATATAAGTAACATATATAAAAACTCCTTGAGGACCTAAAGTAATTTTTAAGTTTGAACGGGTCCTGTGATTGAAAAGTTTGAGAACAGCTAGCCTAAAAGATGCCATCTTTTTAGAATGGTACATGGACCCAAAAGGCATAGGCAGATGATTCTATCTCGTCTTGCAACTTTCTTACTAGTTTACATTATTAAAAAAAATATATTTTATTGATTTTTCACAGAGAAGAAGGGAGAGAGATAGAGAGTTAGAAACATCGATGAGAGAGAAACATCAATCAGCTGCCTCCTGCACGTCTCCCACTGGGGATGTGCACGCAACCCAAGTACATGCCCTTGACCAGAATCGAACCCGGGACCTCTCAGTCCACAGGCCAGCGCTCTATCCACTGAGCCAAACCGGTCTCGGCATAGTTTACATTATTGACCTGACAATTCCATTAATAGTCATTTATTGTAAGAAACCAAGATGTTTGCTGAGACTTATGTATATTTATTGTGATGTTACTTATATTCTATTATCATGTACTAATGTTTAAATTGGTAAAAATAAGTTGGAAAATAGGATATACTTAAAAAATTTAGAACATAAGTTGACACAGCCAGAACTAGAAGCATGTTTTCATAATACAATGGCAGAGGGAAATGTGCATGATGTATTATGAATTGCAAAATCCAGATAATAAAACATTATAGGATAATCTCAAGATAGTTTAGAAACGAGAATTGTATATATGTAATGCTCTTGATGAAATTGGCAGAATATGTGATAAAATGTTTACTTTTGGATAATTTTATTTGTGGACTATAGTCCTATTTTACTCTTTGTCCTGTTTCGCTTTTTTCTATAGTTTTTATAATGTACACAGGGTTGGGCAAAAGTAGATTTACAGTTGTTTTATGGCAAATAATACAATAATTAAGAAATAATATACAAGAATGAACTCTGTGTTTCACATATTTACAACTGTAAACCTACTTTTTCCCCACCCTGTATGTATTATCTTTGTAATAATAAAATCAAATCCCATTTTATGTTATACTAGAGGCCCAGTGCATGAAATTCATGGGTGGGGGCGGGGGCAGGTCCCTCAGCCTTGCCCAGGAGTGGGCAAACTTTTTGACTCGAGGGCCACAATGGGTTCTTAAACTGGACCGGAGGGCCGGAACAAAAGCATGGATGGAGTGTTTGTGTGAACTAATATAAATTCAAAGTAAACATCATTATATAAAAGGGTATGGTCTTTTTTTTTTAGTTTTATTCATTTCAAATGGGCCGGATCCGGCCCGCAGGCCGTAGTTTGCCCACGGCTGGCCTGGCCTGTACCCTCTCCTATTTGGGAGCCCTCGAGGAATGTCCGACTGCCGGTTTAGGCATGATCCCGGGGATCCCTGCGGGATTGGGCCTAAACCGGCAGTCGGACATCCCTCTCACAATCTGGGACCGCTGGCTCCTAACTGCTCGCCTGCCTGCCTGTCTGATTGCCCCTAACCACTCTACCTGACTGCTTGATTGCCCCTAACTGCCCTCCCCTGCTGGCCTGATCACCCCTGACTGTCCTCCCCTGCTGGCCTGATTGCCCCTAATCACCTCTGCCTGACGGCCTGATTGCCCCCTAACTGGTCCCCTGCTGGCCTGGCTGCCCCCTAACTGCTTCCCTGCCAGCCTGGCCACCCCATAACTTCCTTCCCCTGCTGGCCTAGTCCCCCCCTAACTATCCCTCTGCTGGCCTGGTCGCTCCCTAACTGCCCCCCTGCCAACCTGGTCCCCCCCTAACTACCCTGCTGCTGGCCTGGTTGCCCTCTAACTGTCTGGAAGGAAGTTGGACATCTGGAAGATGTCCAGTTGACCTGGTCTAATTAGCATATTACCCTTTTATTAGTATAGATTACCAATAAAAAAGCCACCGGAGAATGAATCTGGACTTGGATTAAAAGCAGTAGCTATCGGAATGAATGAATTTTCTAAACATATTATATTAAAAATTGCTTATAGTTGGTTTAATAGGTTACATGGGACCTTTGTTAGGAATATAATCTGTTATTTCAGTAGGTAAATGAGTAAGTCACTCTTCTTAGAAGGGTTCCTCCATAAGTATGAATTTGACAGGAAGTCAGGATAGCCCCCCCAAAAAATGTTTAGGGATTGAGGCTGTGTCATTTTTATTTGTTAGGGCATCTTATAAAAACCTGTTATCTTAGAATTTCTTAGTTAGCTTATTTTAACTTATTGCTGTGTATTCATTGAAAAGAATGAAAGTTCTTTTGTGCTAAATCAGATTATTGCATTAGTTGTTAAGAGCATTTACTCTGGGATAATAAAGATCTGACTTTTAATCCTTGCTTCATCACTTACTAACTATTGACTCTAAAAATTATTGAACTTTTATTAAACTGTAGCTTTTTTCCTCTGTAAAATGGGAATACTAATACTCAAGAAATTACCTTACTGGATTGGCATGTGTAAGATACTACTTGTAAAGCATTTAGAACATTATCAATGCGCATTATCATCATCAAAGTAAATGGTACTCCTTTCCAGTTAGATTGGTTCAAATAAGTGAAGACTTCTGGTACAATAAATATTATTCATTCTTTAATGTATACATGTTCTTCAGAAAATATAATAAACTACTTAGAATGAAAATAATTAGGGGAACAAAGTTAGCATTGCTATTATGATTGATACATTATTTTAAAATCATTAATTGGCATTGCTTGATTATTTAATTATACTTTATTATTTAAGGTAGAAACTTGATTTTTCTTTTGAAATTATAGGTATTCGTGGGGAAATCAATGTAGTTGTCAAAGTAGACCTCTTCAATGATTTAAATCGATTTAGGCAGTCATCATGTGGAGTCAAATTCTTTTGCAGTAAGTAAATACATTTTATTATTCATTTAACAGGAAATTTAATAATTCACAAATATGAGAAATCAAATTAATATTTTAGAAGGCTAATGGAAAATCTTTTATACTTTGGTTTTCATAGCAAAGAGAAAGTTGTTAATTTTTCAGAAACTGCTGTAGCTCTGGAGACTACTTTTCTGATTTTAAAATAAATTATATCTAATTTTTTACAAGTTCATCAAAATTTTTATTAGAAACATTCAGTGGGGCACATGTGTACACGTGGTTGTCATGACAATGCCTGTGGCCCACAGGGAGGCTGTACCCAGCCTGCCCCACCTCTATTCCCTTCTCCAGCTCCTACTCCAGTCTCTACCCCCAGCTTGTGAACATGATTAGCAGGAATAACATTAAACAGTGCTGATAATAGCCACCTCATGTCAGTAGAAAGAGTACCAGGTGAAGGTTTTGGATTTTTCCCAGAATTTTAAAGAATCCATATATTAATGAATCAATTTAACCTCATTTACTTAAAAAAAATTTTTTTTTTATTGACTTGGAGAGAGAGAGGAAGGGAGTGGGAGAGAGAGAAACATTGGTGTAAGAGTGAAACATTGATTGGCCGTCTCCTGTAGGCCCCTACCAGGGATCAGGCCCACAATCCAGGTATATGCATGCCCTGAATGGGAATCAAACTGTCAACCTTTCTGTGCACAAGATGATGCCCAAGCAACTAGCCACACCGGCCAGGGCAACCTCATTTACTTTTTATGAGACTGACGCGCTGCCTACTGCGCTAAGAGGGCAACTTCATTTACTTTTTAATATTTCTTTAAAAAAAATAAATTTATTGCAACAACATTGGTCAACATGATCATACAGGTTTCAGGTGTGGGTTTCTATGTTACAAGATCTGTATATTGCACTGTGTGCCCACCACCCAAAGTCAAATCTCCCGTCACTATTATGACCTCCTTCTTCCCCCAACTCCTTCCCTCTGGCAACTACCACACTGCTGTTTGTGTTCATAAGCTTCAGTTTTCTATTTTATATATGAGTGGAATCAGATGGTTCATAGCTTTTTCTAACTGACTTATTTCAGTGAGCATAATATTGTCAAGGTCCATCCATGTTGTTGCACGTGGCAGTATTTAATCCTTTCTTATGACTGAGTAGTATTCCATTGTGCACATGTACCACATCTTCTTTATCCAGTCCTCTATTGCAAGACACTTTGGTTGTTTCCATGCCTTGGCCACTGTGAATAATGCTGCAGTGAATGTAGGGGTGCATATATCTTTGTGAATATATGTTTTCGAGTTTTGGGGGTATATATTCAGGAGAGGGATTGTTGGGTCATATGATTCATTTACTTTTAAACCTTATGTTTCCTGGTATTGGGACCAAAGGTGAAGAAGTGATTGTTAAAGCACTATCTATATATATAAAAGCCTAAGCGACCGAACAACCAAACGCCCCTCCCCCCAGCTGGCCAACCTCCTGTACCCCTGCCATCTCCGATTGCTGGCCAGGCCAAGAGACCCCACCCATGCACAAATTCGTGCACCGGGCCTCTAGTATAAGAATAAAATTCTGAGATAATTAAGAATGACTGGAAATAAGATTGAAAACAAAAGTGGAATGTGTTTTTGCTGCAGTGCTACAAATTAATTTATCTGTAGAGAAGTTAGATGTGGTGCCTTTCATTTGAGAAGATAAAGTGTGATAATATTTGCTATAGCCCTAACTCAAAACCAAATACCAAAGGGAATGAAACTAAACCGACCTGTATGGAACAAGAAGACTCTACAGCTCAACTAAGCCCATGTTAAAAGAAAATCACTGCCTATTGAACTACATATATGTAAGAATATTAAAAAAAAGGAGTATAAAACAGATGATGCACTGTATCTGAAGAGTAGCCTATGCTACCTTGATGTCTGCTGGTTGTCATTAGTCAGCAACAACATAGAGGGAGAAGGACTTGGTGCACTTTCTCAATCAATGAAAACAAAGCCCACATTCTCTAATATCTGCATTTGGGGGAACAAATTTGATGAGGCTACATATGTGGCACGTTCAGACTTCATTCAAATGGGCCGTCTAAAACGAAACAGTACAGATGTGGAACCTTTCGTGGTAGATACATGTATGTATCTTGCAAAAGTCTCCAGTGACCTTAACCGTAATTATTAGACACCATCTTATGGAGAAGCTTGTGGCCACTCATCTAATGCAGGTTTTACTCTTGTACCAGTAGGTCAACATTTATGAAAAACAAGGTTTAAAAATAACTGTTACATATTTATTTTATTACTTTGCACAGAGGTTAATATTTTATTGCTCAGTAAATTTTTTTCATAAGTTAGAACAAGTTACTTTTGCCAAATGTGTAAAAGATATGACTATATTAAACTTTGTATAGCTGTCAAAAAGAAAAAAAAATCCAGTGGGATTTTACTTTAGTACAGAGCGCTGAAAGACAGGAGTAGAGCAGTATTGCTAAGCTATGGTGCTATCTAAAATTACATAGGCGTGCACAGGTATGGAGCCCCATGAATACCATGCAGTATGTGTCAGAATTGGGCAGATCTGGGCAATTTATACCAATTTGGATTAATAGATTTGAAAAGTCCTAAGTAGTTGAGTTAGCTTTAAGGTACGAATGTCTATTTTAAGAAACTAGTTTGGTGTAGATTATATCAGGTTCTTCTCTTTTTAAATGTGACCAGATCTTAGTTAAATCCAGTGACATTTGGTGTTTTACATATTAAATGAGAATGTTAAGTAGAGTGACTACTGAACCACTGGCCATATGGCCATGCATTATTAGAAACTTCAGAGCTTTATTTTTCCTCAGATTATGTCAGAAAGGTTTGATTTTTGAGTCTGGTGTACAGAACTTTTTCATAGAGCTTTGAGTAAGTAAAATTTTTTGTGTACTTTATCTGGTTTTCACCTATTTAGATAATCAGGTAGCCGACTTTAATTTTGATTTTTTGCACTTTGTATTGAATGCTATTTAAGAAGCCTTAGCTGTTTTCTCAGTTATACAAGTACAGTGTATATTCATTATGCTTACATGGGAAAGATGAGAGGTCTCATGAAAGAAAATGATTATTTGTAAGAGTAAAATGGAACTTAGAAGACTGATTGCAAGTATTATATAATTACATTTAGATTATCACTGTAGAAGGTGTTCTTGTACTATTTATCCAAAAGGTAATAACTTAGTTGTATATTTTTAAAAAATTGATTTAACCTTGTGATAAATAGAAGCATAATAGATCATTTCTTTTAACAGCAACATCTATTCCAAAGTGTTATAGAGCTGTAATAATTCATGGATTTGTAGAAGAACTTGTGGTCAATGAAGACCCAGAATATCAGTGGATTGATCGAATTCGCACACCAAGGGCATCAAATGAGGCCCGACAGAGACTCATTTCTTTAATGTCAGGTATTTTAAAAATCCATCCTTATTACTGATTGACTTAATACTCCAAAATTTTTCACTTCCTTTTGACATGTTACCCCAAATTTTATAAAGAAGACTGTGAATTATAAATGACTGATTCTCTACCCCCTGAACACATGAATTTCCATCGTATAACAAGGATAAATCTAATCAGAAGCTTATAATTCCTTCTTAATTAGGCAGTAAAAAGAAATTGTGTTCATGAAGTGGTATAGTAGAAAGTGGCAAGGAGGTAGGAAACTGGGTTCTAGTTTTTTTCCTCTAGCATTTATTTGTACTCAGATTTAGGTAATCTCTCTAATGCTTTCTGTTTAAATGCTGCCTTTTTATGGTTCTTCTCTGACAACTTATAGCTCTTTCTACCCCTACCTGCCACTTTTACCCAATTTACTTTTATTTTTCTTTGGAGAACTTATTACCTAAAATTTATGTTTATATGTATATATGTGTGAGTGTCTTTATACACACATATTCATACATATACATTCTAGATAATAAATAAGCATAAATGTTTATATTTAATAAATTTATATATTTTAAGTAGATATTTACACTTATATTACTATTAATTAATTATATTTATACTTACATTACTTATTTATAAGTATATTTATATTTATGTTACTTTTAAATTATACTTATAAATATGTACTTATAGTAGTATTAGATTAATTACATTTAACTAATATTTATAAATATTTATGAATATGTTAATTCATAGTTAACATGCATTAGATTTAATATATTAAATAATACATTTAATTGTTACTTCGTATTATATTCTACATATTTGTAGTATATGATATGTAATATATAATGCTAAATTATATTATATATAATTACATTAGACTATATTATATGCTATGTATTCTATATGTTATATGTAACATTTATATTTGTTGTTTTTTGTCTGTTTCACATTATGTAAACTCCACTAGATTTGGGTCTTTACCTTTCTAGTTATCTCTATATATCTAGCACTTAGAAGAAGGAGGAAGGCCAGGCACATAGCAAACAACTAAAAATTATTTGGTAAATAAATGCTACCTGCCAGTTTATTTTATATAATGTGGAGATATAAAGCAGAATGAGTTTCCTTGCTTTTTTGTAGGAGAATTGCAGAGGAAGATTGGCTTGAAAGTACTTGAAATGAGAGGAAATGCGGTTGTTGGGTACTTACAGTGTTTTGATCTGGAAGGCGAATCTGGTTTAGTGGTACGAGCCATAGGGACAGCGTGTACACTGGATAAATTAAGTAGCCCAGCAGCATTCCTTCCTGCATGTAATTCCCCATCCAAAGACATGAAGGAGTAAGTATGAATCACTGAATTATTCTTAAGGAACTTTTTATCTTTTACTATACATTTTCATTTGACTCGAAAATTTTAGTAGTGTTGTTCGATATACATTTTTTCCTAATGATGACTGTCAACATTTGAAGCTTAAAACTCTTTAGATATTCCTAATATTTTTTATATAGTCTTAATATGAAATTTGAATAAAGTAAGATACAATTAAACTTATCCAGATCTTTAAGCACTGTATATCTAAAGCATAAAATGAATATTTATGAATTGTGTGGAATTTTACTTATTTTCTGGGGAATGCTTAAAACCCTATACGTGGTAATTCAGTTATGCTGATTATTAGCAACATATTATAGAAAGCAGGAAAGATTGACTTGTGCAGGGGTCTCAAACTTGAATGTCTACAGAGGCCAAGCAGTTTATATAAATAATTGGGTATAACTAAATAGGTAATACTGGGGACTGTTTAAAGCAGACATTGGAAAACTTTTTCTATAAAAGGCCAGTTACTGCCTGGCTGGTAAGCTCAGTGGTTGAGCATCAACCTATGAACCAGGAGGTCACAGTTCGATTCCTGTCAGGACACATGCCTGGGTCGCAGTCCTGATCCTCAGTGTGGGGCATACAAGAGGCAGCCAATCAATGATTCTCTCTCATCATTGTTTCTCTCTCTCCCTCTCCTTTCCTCTCTGAAATCAATAAAAAAAAATATATATTTTTTATATATTTAAACAAATATATGTTTTTTAACACCTTGTTTGCGGGTAGTTTTTATCGCGCGCTAACAGGTGGCGCGGGCCATTTTTGCTAATTTTTTGCGCAAATGGCAACGTTCAGTAAAATTACGATAACTTTAGTTTACATATTTATACGTTACCCGCATTCTACCGCTAGTCTATAAAAAACGTATTAATACGTGTCCTGCGATCTACTACACTGGTAGAACGTATAAATACGTAAAACGTGTAAACATGTTTCCCGCATACAATGTGTTAAATATATAAAATTCATGCACTAGGTGGAGGGTCCCTCAGCCTGGCCTGCCCCCTCTCACAGCCTGGGAGCCCTCAGGGGATGTCCCATGGGGAGCAGGCCTAAGCTGCAGTCTGGTCTCCCTCTGCGGGAGGCAACCAAGCAAAGGTGCCGTCCCCATCACCCTGCTGCTGCTGCCACTGCCTGCCACCGGCCCTCCTCAGCCCTCACAGCCACCGCAGCTTTGTCCGGAAGACGTCCAGTCTATCCAGTCTAATTTGCATATTACCCTTTTATTAGTATAGTTATATAAATAAAAGGCCAGGTACTGAGTATTTCAGGCACTAGCTCTATAGTTTCCATCTTTATTTACTAAAAAAAGGAGTTTGTTGATCCTGTCTAAAGGCGTTTTTAGGCTCACACATTTAAAAAAAACTATGTGTGATCCAAGAAAATAACTTTGTTGGCTGGATTCAGCCTATGTCATTGTTCAGCATGGTGGTGCTGGTGCTGTGAAAAGGGAATGTTTGAAATAGACTTTCTGTCAGAATGATTGGGGTGAGACAGACAATTCTGTTGGAGATTAGAAATGCTGACTATTCTGTACAGCAAGGGACAACTCTTTATTATGAAAACTTTTCCATCCTAAATGCCAATAATACTTCCAATGACAATTTGATCTAGAGAATCTTCTAGATCAAGGATCAACAAACTTTTTCTGTAAATAACCAGAAGGTACAGGTAAATAATTTAATTTTTGCCCTCAGCAGCTTCTCAACTCAGCTACTGTCCTGTGAAAGCAGCCATCAACAGTATGAAAATTAATGAGTATGGTTGTGTTCCAATAAAACTTACTTCCTCACAAAACAGATGGAAGGATGGATTTGGCTTGTGTTGGGTTTGCTGACCCCTTTCCTGTATCATCAGAGTCAGAATTCTGTAGTCAGAAACCTGAAATGTTTTCTAGTTAAGCAGTAGTCAAGAGAGGTTGACTAGAAAACAATCGCAAGCTTTTTAAAAACAATCCTTTTTAAAAAATTTTTTAAATTTTTTATTGATTTCAGAGGAAGGGAGAGTGAGAGAGAGAGAAATATCAATGATTAGAGAGAATCATTGATTGGCTGCCTCCTGCATGCCCCCTACTGGGGATCAAGCCTCCAATGCACGGGCGTGTGCCTGGCTAAAACACAATCTTTTTTTTCTCTTTTGAATTTTTAAAAATATTTTTTTATTGATTTCAGAGAGGAAGGGAGAGGGAGAGAGAGTTAGACACATCGATGATGAGAGAGAATCATTGATCGGTTGCCTTCTGCATGCCCCACACTGGGGATCAAGCTGCAACCCAGGTGCCCTGAGCAGGAATTGAACCTGGGACCCTTCAGTCCGCAGGCCAATGCTCTATCCACTGACCTAAACCGGCCAGGGCCTAAAACACAACCTTTTTAAAAAAGATTTTCCCCTTTATCTTAAGTTTATTCTTTTTATTTATCTCCTTTCTGTTGGACTTTAGTTATTTGAATTAAATTTTATCACAAGAGAGGGAGCACATATATTGCCTTATTTATAATATTTGGAAACTAGAGGCCCGGTGCATAGATTCATGCACCGGTGGGGTCTCTCGGCCTGGCCTGTAGGGATCAGGCTGAAACCGGCTCCCCGACATCCCCTGAGGGGTCCCGGATTGCGAGAGGGCGGTTCTTGGATGACACACCCCGGAATCGGGCTCCCTCCTCTCTGGTTCTGGGTGCATCACCCAAGAACCACAGCTGCCAAGTCACCGCAGCTTGGCAGTTCCTGCGTTGAGTGTCTGCCCCCTGGTGGTCATTGCGTGTCATAGCTATCAGCCAGTTGGCCGGTTGCTTAGGCTTTTATATATATAGATATGTTGCAAATGAAATAACTTTTAAATAAAATGGAAGAGTGAATTTGCTTTATATTCTACTTAATGTGTCTTAAAAATATATCAACTGCCTGTTGCTACAGGGGAAGTCAGATTTCAGGGGTAGATTTTGGGTGGAATTTGGAATTCAGATTTTTTTTTCTTCTCTTTCTTTTTTCTTTTTTTCTTCTCTTTCCATAGCAAAGTTAAGTAAGGACCTGGGGTCCCTCCTCCTCCTGCCACCCTCCCTCTTTATCTACACTGCCTTAAGGGGTCTGTGATTTCTGAAGCTTTCCTCTTTTCACTAACTTAATGGAAAGAGAAAACTATAGTACCTGTTGGTGTCTTAAAATGATGTATGGGCAATAGGGGAATACATTTTATCTGCATTCAGGAAGTGTTTCAATAATGTAAATCTTCTGGGATTATGTAAGTTTTCTCCTTTTCTAAATTTGTTGTAGCCATTTGGATTTAATTGTCAAATATTTACTGTGAAGAATTTAAGTTGCTTCATTAAGATTTTTCTGCAAGACATCTTACTACCTAAGTCATATTATTTTAACCCCCACACCCCCACCCACACACACAAAAAAACCCCTCAATACTCAGGCTGCTTTATTTCAACTAGCTTCTTTTGTATTTTTGATAATGAATCAATTTGAGTGCTAGCTTAAAGTTGTTTTATGATTCAGTTGATTATAATTATTCTGGTATTTAATTATAACATTGTTGATTCTAGATGGGAATTTAATAAAAGGTAGTTTGGATTATGTTCCTGCCTGAATGGATTTGATATTAGAAGTGCCACTTGGGTGTTATTGAAAGGCAGCCTTTCATGAAAAGAGATTGTTACGAATTAGAACTCCAAGAATACATTATGATGATGCTCCAGTGTATTTGAGTTTTAATGTGATATCATAATTTGAACATTTTACAATGCTCATTTTATTTTATTTTACCTTTATTAATGTGTGTTCTACTCCATCAGTTTTTTTTTCCTTTTAGATGTTTAATGTACAATATAAATCTTTTTTGTTTCCTAGCTGAATTATCTTGATGGTACAAAGTGCACTTAAATATGATTTATTACTTCTCTACTTCAAAGAAAAAAGGACTTTCTAAGAGATTTTAGTCATAATTCCTCCTCTGTATGACACTGATTCTTAGACTTTTTTTTTGTTTTGTTAATCATCACCTGAGAATATTTTTTTCCTTTTTTTTTTTTTTTTTTTTTTTGAGAGTGGAAGGGAGGGAAAGAGAAAGGGCAGAGAGAGAGAGAAAGAGAGAGAGAGAGTGAGAGAGAGAGAGAGAGAAACATTGATGTGAGAGAGACAAACCAATTGGCTGCCCTCCCGCACAGGACCTGACGGGGGCTGGATCCAGCCTACAACCTCGGTACATGCCTTTGACTGGGAATCGAACCCAAGACCTTTCTGTGCATGGGCTGATTCTGTCACCACTGAGCCACACCAGCAAGGGCTGATTTTTAGACTTTCTAACTTCATTAGTCACTTCAACAGAGAAAGAAAAAACAAAAATAAAACCTCACTCAGTTTGTATACAAATAAATCATCAATGAGATGTTTGATTTTTATTAGTTATATTAAACACATTTTAAATTTAAACTAGCAACAAAAACAGAAACAATTATCCCATTGTAAAATCAGTGAAATTTCCAGAAAGTAGTCTGTAGATCATTATTGTCAATTAATGATAGCTCATGTTTGAACCTTGACAAATTGTGATTGTTGGGCAATGGAAAAGAAAAGGAGACGCCAGGAAAAGTTGGGCTCTTGCCCTGCTTTTAATTTGAATTCTAAAAAAATTGTGATGTGATTGCCTTAGCCAGTTTGGCTCAGTGGATAGAGCGCTGGCCTATAGACTGAAGGGTCCCAGGTTTGATTCAGGTCAAGGGCACGTACTTTGGTTGTAGGCTTGATCCCTGGCCCTGGTCAGGGTGTGTGCAGGAGGCAACCAATTGATGTGTCTCTCTCACATCAGTGTTTTTCTCTGTCTCTCCCCTTCCCTTCCACTCTTTCTAAAAAAAATCAATGGAAAAATATCCTTGGGTGAGGAGTAACAACAACAAAAAATTAAAATAAAAAAAATGGAGATATGATAGTTTTTCAGAGTATATATAAGGATTATTTTTACCTTATTATATATAAGCAAAAGCATTGAATAGTGAAATAATTGCTAATATGAAGTTAGGATTTTTAGTTCTGTAATATACTTTATTTTGAAAGGTTGTATATGAATATATACCTGTGTATCTGATCTAAATATATTCATACATGCTCATGATGTGGTCTGTTGCAGGATATAAGTTGATATCTTAAAATATTTCAATTCAGAATGTAGTTTAATCTATTTTAAGTTTAAATAATGTGTTTGAGAGAGCTAGACAAAAATCATTTAAATTGCTTTATTAATGTGTTTTTAAAAGAATTGTTTCCTTGTTTTGTTTGGTTCCCAGTATCATTTGAGTTATACTTGATATGCTAAAATATGCAATGTTTATATCGGCTTATATCCATTCAGTTCAGTCATTTCTCTTTATGCTGTCATTTTTCTTATTCTTAAGTACCCCTATCTCAAGATTCTAGACAGAAATAGGTTTGCTAGTTAAACTTTCTTTATGGAAAATATAATTAATTATACCAGCAATTATTTATATATCAGTTTCAAAAATAATATAAGAACTTTGTATTTATAGACTTTTCACTTTTATGGGTATTTTCTTCCTAAAATTCTGTGGTGATCAAAATAATAACAAACATTTTAGAGCAGCTTAAATCCAAATCTTAGTCTTTCTAAGAAATTTAATTCCACTGACAATTCTACCTGCTATCTTTCGTATTCACAGTCCTAATTTATTAATCTGATCCTTTAAAACTATAATTATATCCTAATGAATGAATGACTATTTAGCTATTTTTTAAAAATTTCAACTTGTTTTTTTGTATGCTAGGGATTAAAAAAATAATTCCTCTCCCCTAACTAAAGCTCCTTTGAAATTATTTTAACAAAACTTTGCTATCTGTTGTATGTATTGTTTTCTTTTCTTCCACTTTGACCACAAATTCCCCCAGGTCTCCGCTGGTTCATCCTCCAAGCCATGGATGCCGCTCGACTCACAACAGCCCAATTCACACTGCTACTGGCTCCCGACTTACTCAGAACTTCTCTGTGTCTGTTCCCACTCTCATCTATACTGGTACGAGACTGCTCAGACTCCAGAGCTGGGGAAGGCAGGCCACAGGCAGAGTGGCTGCAGAGGGCAGGCAGGCAGGTAGTGTAGGCAGGTACCACAAGTCTTGGCTTCTTCCTTTTCTCACTCAAAGTCCAGTTGCAGTGAAGAAATCCTGTATTTAGCCTCCATAGAGGCTCTAACTACATGGAATTGAAAGTGTTCTTCCAGTTTCCAAAGTCTCTTCCATAGGTCTTCTAACAACCCTGGGTTCTGTATGCACACTGTGCGTTTTGGGGGGAATCCTCCAGTATGTATTTTTGCCATAACAACTACATTTGGTTAGAATAAAAATTAATGATTGGATTCTAAACAAAATAGCTTCCAAAGCTTCTGATTTGCTTATGTTCTTTATGTGCAAACCTTGTTACAGTAGGGTCTGTTTTATTCTGTGGAAGAGAGCTTTTGGAAAAGAGGTAAGCAACTATGCTGCATAAAATGCAATGATTTTTTGTAGCTATATTCATTTTCCTCTCTGCTCTGTTTTTAGCTGTGGCACTCTTGATGCTATAGGATAAGGAAACATTTTTCTTTCGATGATATCTGTGTGTGCAAATATAAAAACAGTTGTGAATATTTACACACACCATTTGCAGTCATCGTTGTTTCTTTGGTAACTTAAAAAAGAGCATTGTTTATTTGCAAGTATTTTCAGTCATGTATTTATTCTTTTTGTTTATTTCTCCTTTTAATATTTTTTATCCCCCTTAGTCTGTCATTTCATGCTTTTTTGCTTTTTTACTTGGCTTATTAACTGTTTCAATGCAGATAATTATTTATTTGAAGATTGATGAATGGTTAAACAGCAGTTGATTGACTTTGGCCTCATACCCAGCTCCACACTTAAGAAATGACTGCTGGCCCTGCCCCAATATTTCCTGGTGTTTGGATCATGCTGCCTTCCATCAAATCCTTTGGCACATGATTATTTAATATTTCTCCACCTTCTTCTGGCAGGATTCCCTTCAATGAAGATCCCAACCCCAATACTCACTCATCAGGACCCTCCACCCCTCTGAAAAACCAAACTTATTCCTTTTCACCTTCCAAGTCCTACAGCCGACAGTCCTCTTCTTCTGACACAGATTTGAGTTTGACACCCAAAACTGGTAAGGCGCTTCCACCCATCTTTTATTTTTTTCTATTTTTTCTTTTTCAAATTTGTTTCTGTTCCTTGTTAGCTTTCCATCCAAGCCTTTTCTCCAGTTTTTTGGCATTTAAGGTTAAAGGTAATGTGAACAGTGATCATTTTTACTACTACAATTAAAATATGAAGATTTTGTATAGTTCAGAAATCGACATTTTATTGATTTTATCACAGTGTAGCTATGAAGTCCAGGATTTATTTTTGCAGTATATATTTTTCATTTCATGCTCAAGAGGAATAACATCTGAAAGCATTTGAATAAAAAGGAACACTATTAGTTGCAGTTGAATTCCTCATGCAGTATAAGCATTTTGAATTCATTTTTTCTGTCTATTTCTGAATATATTTGTAAAGATTTTATTATGAAAAAATCTTAAGAACAATTAATATGGTTATTTTGGAATAATACACCTATTAACTTTTTGTTATTTAAAATGTTTGTTTTTTTCTTGTCTTAATTTCTAGATTAGAAAATAGCAGTTTTTCTGTACTTATTTTTGCATATATTTCAATGTATAAAATTTATAATTTTTCTGTCTCCTATGTGTGTTTTGATAATTTGAAATTTTATGAACACATTTTATGACAAAAATTGATTAAAAATTAAATTCCTTCCTTAGTCCATAAAATAGAATTAACTTAATCATTAAATTATTATTCTTGAGAAAAAGAAAAATAAATAAAACATTTCAAAGTTAATAGTTTGCAATTTTTGTAAATACTATTTTTGTCTGGCAGTTTCTTGCCAGATTAATGAAAACATTTTGCATAGTTCTTATTTGTGTTATTTTTAATTTATCTTGAATAACCTTATTTTCATGTTAGCCAAGAAATTTATAAAATGACCTGATTTTATGAAGGCAATGTAAAGAAATCTAATTCCAGAACCAGTACTACTTCCAAAGTAAAAGAGGATATTGAAAAAAAGCCTGTAGATTTAATATCTACTTTTATAAATGTAGTCATTTATATAAACACCTAATTCTTTGAAAAGAGTATCTGTATTTTTATATACACATAATTATGACTGACATCTTAAAATAATTGATATTTGATAGTAATCTTAACCATATTCATGTTAAGCATCTTAACATGATTTGTAGCATCTTAACCATATTCATGGAACCATTCAAATAGTGCTTTTCTCTTTTAAAAAACATATTTATTTATTAAATTGATTGGGGTGACATTGGTCAACATGAACATATAGGTTTCAAGCATGGATTTCTATGATATAATATCTTCAAATAGTGGTTTTCTTTGTTTTTTACTAAACAATGAAATTCTGGCCTTGAATTCATGACAATCAAAACAAGAAAGACTGCCCTAGTCAGTTTGGCTCAGTGGATAGAGTGTTGGCCTATGGACTGATGGGTCCTGGGTTCAATTCCAGTCAAGGGTACATGCCCAGGTTGTGGGCTGGATTCCCAGTAGCGGATGTGCAGGAGGCAGCCAATCAGTGATTCTCTCTCATCATTGATGTTTCTATCTCTCTCTTCCTCTCCCTTCCTCTTTCAAATCAGTAAAAATATATTTAAAAAACAAACAAAAAAACAAGAAAGACTTAGGATAGTATTTGAAGAATAAGTTTTCTTAAAAATATTTTTAAAACTGTCCACTTGCTATTTATTTGTGTATTCCAGGCCACTTTTCAATATTATCTTTAATTTTTGAAAGTATTTCCTTGATCTTTCTGTTTCTTTTTCTTTAGTTCACCATAAAGTCCAAGACTAAAGAAGATTGTCAAGTAATACACTAACTGAACTAGTCTATTCTCTTAGCTTTCTAGTTTGCAGTCAGTTGTATTATCAAATGAAAATATTTTTGTATTTTATTTTCTAGATCCAACTTTTTAGTTTTTTAAAATTTATTTATAATAGAAGTATTCTCATATATTTCTATATTTATAAGCTACCTCTAAATTAACTATTCTTTTCTGCCTATAATTATTCACTACCTCAGTAGCATATTTATAGGATATTAGTTATTTTTAGTCCTTTGGCTTTATCATGATTCCCTGAATATCTTCAAATACTCCTGAGGAGCATTCTCATTTCTTATGGAGATTTAAAATGGCAAAAATGATTGTTCTAAAATTTCTAAAACTGTAATTCAGTATGTATTTCATAATTTTCTGTCTTCTAATTTACCTATATTCAAAATCAGTCTCCTGAGAAATAGAGTAGAAAAGCTGATTATTATTGATTTATTATATGTAAACTAAGGAGCCAAAAATAGAATGAAATTAATAAACCTTAGACTGCGAATTTTTTTTTCCATTCGTAGTTAAAGCTATCATCTGTTTTTCAGGTAGTTCTTATTTTAAAAAAAATTTATATTGATTTATTTCGGTTGATTCAAATTTGTGACATTTTATAAGATTTTATTTTCGTACTTTTCCCAAATACTCAACTAGTCACAGTGGAATTTTAGAATGCTTGTGTTAGGATACTGACTTGGCGCCTAACTCAAGCTCATTTTTACTTTTTTTAGTCAGGCTATTAACCATGTAAAGAAATGGTATTTGACCCCTAGGTACCCTCATTTTTGTAAATGCAAATAGTACTATGGTCAAATTTGAGTATTTAAAATTTTAGAGGAGAAAGAAAAGTACTAACATCTTGAATCTGAACAGAAATAACAACATTTATTTATTTAAGATGAATAATGGCAACTGCTTAATGTGGTACTGTTTGATTTTTCAATTTAAATACTCATAGGGATATGTTTGTTTTTTTTAGTAACATTTGAAGAGCTGTACTTTACCACTTTAAATAATTATTTCTATTTGAGGCAACAAGTTTCTGGCTTTAAAAATTTGTTAGATGCAGTACATTTTAATCTTCCACATTCTTATGCAAAGAAGGCAGGTAATTTAAGTATTTTAAGGAAATCATCTAAAAGTTATTAGAATGGCATAAAATCTTACTTTAATGATTTAAAAATTTTAAAGAATGCAAAGTTTGTAAAGGTTTTGTTAAGTTTTAGACTATGCCTTCTATTTATATTATGTTGGGTATATGTCTTGCTAATGACTTCGTAAGCTTAGTGTAATTTGTGTATGCATTTTAAAATTCATTTTTACTGTTATGTTTTGGTTCATCATTGCTTTCCTTATCCTGCATTTTCTGATCATCTTCTGAATGTACATCTTTTTCTCTGCTACTTTCCTCCACAGCACCTTACCCACAGAGTCAAGGGATTTTCCTGTATCCCAGCTCCCCCTCTCTCTCTTGTGGTTCCCTTCATCTTAAAAAGTCCTGTCTCCTCCTCTCGGAATCTAGCCTTTCCCCTCATCATTCTAGCCTTGTCAGCCCAGTTCTGAGGAAAAGTGTTTCTTTCAGTGACGAGCTGTTCCTGGCTGCTTCTGGTAGGATCACCTTAATGTCAGCTTTTTAATCCCTTTGTTTTGAATCATTTTTGATACTACAAAGAAGTAGTGGGTATTTATGCAGGATGTACTTCTTATTTTCTTATTGTTAGACAGATTTAAGTGATTAGAATTATCATGAGGACATGATTGAGGATCACTTGATAGATAATTGTGAATATTCTGCTAAAATTATTTTATAAAAAAGTATTATATTCTAAGGACACAGATAGACATATTTCCAATTATTATTAGGTTCTTATTACTAGAGTGTCTGTTTTACTTTCTTTCCCTTCATACCAACTCTATTCACATTGGACCTGTACCATCATGTTGCTAAACCATATGGTTACATTAGTAAATTATTCTGTTTGAATCAGTTTAAGTCTCGTTTTGGTAATATTATTTCATTATCCTTTTTTTTCCTGTCCATTGCTTTAATTTTTCAAATTATTCTGTATTTTTTTATATTTCATATACCTCTACAAACTTACATTTTTTTTATGGTTTTCAATATGCTTCATGTAAAGAGCTTAGTTTAATTTCTGTGTTTAGTATTGTATAGTCTCTAAGAATCATGTTTAGGTTACTACAAGGACAATAAATTTCCTTTTTTTAAAAAACAGAACAGAATGGGACTATACATATGCTAACCTTTGTTTCCTTATCCAAGAACAGCTAAAAATATAAAAGTCATTATAGTGACTATGACTATATGTTTCTTCAGTTTAAATGGTGGGATTGATGAACTAGTGACTCTAGTTTGTAGAGAACTGGCTTCTCACCTGTCCCCTGCTTTCTATAATTCTTTTACCATAGTTGATCTTTTGGTATTATCAAAAGAATAAAGTAAGGTAGGGAAAGAAGTTTATAATTAAGCCTATAAAAATATATCTAAGAAATTGTGAAATATAATTCTTTCATGCATAACGACATACATTTGTGATGTGTCTATTACATGTTTGTGATTTTTAGTTTTTAAAAAAATTATGTTGATTTTTGCAAACGAGTGTGGAAAACTATGGATATTAATGCTGTTTTGACATTAATGTTATGTTTAGGAATGGAATTTATCAGAAAACACATATGACTATATTTCAAAATTACCCTGAAATTCATGCTCTTTGGAGAATTTTGGAATATTTTAAGTAAGGACAATTAGTGCTTTCCTTTTTATACTTAATTTTAGACAAACATTTAACATTTCTCATATGTAGTATTCTAAAATTGTTAGCATAAGTAATTGGTATTATCATGATTATATTTTATTGGAAGATTGATTTACAAAATTGAATATTATGCAAAAATTCAATACTTTAATTTAAAAATAATTTTTAGAACAAATTAAGTCTAAAACTAGTTGTGATCAGTAGAACGTTGGCATATTGCTTCTAAAATGAACTTGCTGAGTAAAATATGTGTTTACTTGCCTCAAATACTTTTAAATGTTTGGATCATTTAAACAGATTTTGACTCATGATATTTATGAAGATGAATGCAATTAATCTTTCTGCTTCTATAGTTGTTTTTTTGTTATTTATGTACTGATGTTCTGTAGGAATGGGAAGTGGTAGTGCTGGAAAAGAAGGGGGGCCATTTAAAGCTCTTTTAAGACAACAGACGCAGTCAGCATTGGAACAGAGGGTAAGATTCACTCAACATTCTTTATTTTTACATTGTTGATGTGATTGTATTATCAATCTTCCATGTACTTATAACTTATTTCCATACTGCTTTTGATCATGTATCTGTAATGTAATTTCAAAGTCTAAACTGTATTTAAGGTATCATAGTGATTTGTTTATGTATAATTACTTTTAATTTGGAATAATTGTATAACTATTTTTGTTTTATCCTTCAGTTTCTTACTAGAAATAGTCTATTTGCAAATATTCATTGAAGGTGAAATTATTTCTAATTTTACATTAAAATTATAATATATAAAAAGAAATAATAGATATTTTTCCTAAAAAAAAACTTAGTTTTAAACATTAAAAGTATATTATTAGTATATTAATATTTTTATTTGCTGAGATTATATTTATTACTGGCCAATCTCTTTAGCATAAGAAATGCACAGATTTCATATTACTATGGATTAACATAAATAATGTGGTTGTTCAGTATTTGAGTACATTTCTTTAAAATATTATAGGTTAACATTTTATTGAATATGTTAAATGGAAAAATGAGTAGTTAAGTTATTGGATGATTTTTCTCTTTTCATTTTTATTTTTTTATAAACTTCAATGCTAAGGGAGGATCGCCTCATAGGTTCTGTAGAAGGCGGGTATGTTCCTAAAACATGTGTGAGAGCCTATTTCTTGTATGGTAGTTTTTCTAGTTTTAATATTGATCATTTAAGTTTCATTTATGCTTTTAACACATGTTGCCAGCTTTTTTTCTTTTCGTAATGCAAAGTTTTTTATTTAATAGCACTATGAGGCTGTTTTTGTTTTCTTTTTCCTACTTAACTAATACAGTGCATGATTTTATGTCCTGTCAGTTACTTTAAGGCACAGTTCCATAGCTCTCATTATGTCTGATTTACAGAATGTCTTTCACAGTTTCTATTTTACACTAGCATTTTTAAAAAAAAGTTGCAATATAGCAAATACTTATAAAAGGATGCACTTTATAAAACAAAGGTGTGTTTTTCCCCCTAGAGGTTGGCCTTTTGAGAATACTTGTGTTTTTCAGATTCCATTATTATGAACAATATGATTTTTTTTTTTTAGGCTTTCTTTGCTTGTGCTGAGAGTATCTGTGTATGCACTGTTTGCCTTTTAGACAGGCTGGAGAGAATAGACCTGTACTAAGCAGAGTGATGAGACGTTAGCTGTACCAGGTTCTTGGCTTTATACCCTATTAAGCAGCTATTACCTTTCAGCTATTCTCACAGCTTGCAGGCACAAAAAGCCCACCTAAATATTCACACCATCCATTGAAAGCAAATCAAGATAAGGACTAAAAAGAGGGAGAAGAGGGCCAGAGTGAAGGTGTGTGTCCCCTTATCATTTTTTAGTGCAGAATGCTCTGACTTCCACCCCTCCCAGTTTTGTATTCTCTGCAGAGTCCCTTTCACTAGGAATATGTCCTGTAATCTAATTATCATTCTAGTATTCACAGGAACAGAAAAACTTGGGTTGCCTTGATGTTTGATATAATGTTGTACCTGTGACTTTACTCTCTGTACTAAGAACGTTTAAAAACATCTAGCATTATAAGAAAAATAATTCTAATCACTGAAAATGGTTTTGGATTTGGTTTCGATAAAATTTATGTTTACAAATATGCTTTTAAACATTCTTAAAATTTTGGACACATTAACACATTGGGCATACGTTACTAGATAATCTTCATGGAATTAACAGCAGAGGTGTGGAGAACTTTAAATTTTCATTTACAATTTGGTAAAACCTGAGTTAGCAATATATTTACATAACCTTAACCTTGCAGTATCAGTTACTTGAGTTTATGAGACCACCTCTCTACCCCGTGTACAAAATAAATAGAGCATTATCATCTTTGACTTTCCTATTTTTTTGTGGCTGCCAGTAGTGTGGCTTTATTTTGGGAAATATTTGTAGAGAAGTATGAAGAATTCTGTCCATATGTGTTCAGATGTGCCTTAACTCTGCCAAGTTGAGCACTGAATCAAGTTGAACCTAGGCTAGTTGTATCATTTTTTTATATTCACTTTAAACACATTTATTTCTACCTCTTGCCACCTTTAATAAATTATATTGCTTTTTTTACTTGAGGAAAAGAGAAACTTTGCTGAAAATCCTTTATTTAATGGATTATTCAAGTAGGGTTCTCAAAAATAAAAGTATTTTCCCCCTTTCACAAAAATATTAAAAAACCCGAGGCCTGGTGCATGAAATTCGTGCATGGTGCACTCTCTAGGCCTGGCCAGTGATCAGGTGTGGGCGTCTGGGTGGAAGGGCAGGTCCCAGCTGACCTCTGGGCCCTGGGCAGCACCTGGGTCCCCGAGCTCCCGTGCACCCCCCTCCGCCAGAGTCATGGCGCCCAAGTCCCCATGTGGAGATGCAGTGAGCACAGCCAGACGTTGCGGGCCAGGGTGCAGCATGGGCCTCTGGGCCGCCCAGCGGCGCCACACGGGAGCCAGGTGGGCAGTGTGCTCTCTCCCAGCCAGCCTCGCAGACTGGCTCCTGTGTGAACCCACGGAGAGACCGACCAGCCCCTGCGGTCCCGGTGGCTGCGGCCTGGCTCACCCGAATGAGGCTGCATGGGTGTGGGGCGGGCTCCTCATGGGCGCCTGGCACCTCAGCGTGGGGGCTTCCCCAGCACATGAGCCCTGGCGTCCCGGGGGAGGTAAGCTGGGGGAGTAAGAGTGAGCTCGGCAGACACCCCACATTCTCACCGCACCTCCATCCCCGTCAACCCTGCCCCCAGGTAGCTGGCAAGAGGTCGCAGCACGTCGCTGATGCCTGCTATGTTCCTCGCCACACCCTGGTGGTCAGCACACATCATAGCTAGTGGTTGAACTCCTGGTCTCCCGGTTGAACGACCGCCCGAGAGGACAATTTGCATATTAGGCTTTTATTATATAAGATAAGTTGACAAGATCTTGGAAACAGGTGTCAGATTACTGGGAGATGAGAAATAGAATTAAAAGTTTTATTTAGATTTAGGTTTTGCCTATGAACTATTTGATGTAAGGCAAATAGATATATTTTTCAATATGACTCTTCTTTCACCTGTAAGAAAAATAAAATTACTCTGTCAATTCTGGGATGTTTATTTTTCTTCAATAAAGAAACCTAGTTAACTTAGTTTGACCTAGTGTTTTTTAAATATATTTTACCATGGAATCTTTCATTTAAATATGTTTTAGTGAGGAACACATTTTGGGGAAACATTGATAAAGAGCAAACCTATTTGATAAATTATGACTTTTTAGAAGTGGGGGTACAATTATATAATAAATCATAGGAATCTGGCATGGAGTTTTATGTCTAGAAAGTTACTCTGGTCTCTTAGGATAATAAAAAGAACATATGATTTAAAAATAAGCTATTTAAACATCTAAGAAGAATCCTATTTAAATCTTAAAAGAGATACTCCCTTGTGTTCTCAAGATTTTTCAACTAGCCTTCCTGAGTACATGCTATTAATAGATTTATGCTACATGCACTTGGCTTATGTCAAAACATCAACATATGAAGTCTTATCTAGGTACCAAAGGGCAAGATGTTTTAAATATAAGGATTTTCCAGAGGAAACGTCTCCTATAGTCCCTGGAAGTTTCATTTGAGCAATGAAAGCAGTGTGTGCTTGGGCTGATCTTAAGGAAGCTGTCCTTGTGGTCTAGAGAACCCATACATTCATCAGGTATAATAATAGACTAGAGATTAAAATCAACTCTTTAACTTAATGTTTTAACCAGAAATAATACGAAGCCAGATGAGGTTTGTTGTTCAGTAAGAGTCTAGGCCAGTGGTTCTCAACCTTCCTAATGCCGCGACCCTTTAATACAGTTCCTCATGTTGTGGTGACCCCCAGCCACAAAATTATTTTCGTTGCTACTTCATAACTGTAATTTTGCTACTTCTTTGAATCGTAATGTAAATATCTGATATGCAGGGTGTATTTTCATTGTTACAAATTGAACATAATTAAAGCATAGTGATTAATCACAAAAACAATATGTAATTATATATGTGTTTTCCGATGGTCTTAGGCGACCCCTGTGAAAGGGTCGTTTGACCCCCAAAGGGGTCACGACCCACAGGTTGAGAACCGCTGGTCTAGGCCCTCTTGAGCTTAGTTTTTTTTTTTACCTAAAATGTGGAGATAATAGTACCTCTTTCTTAGGGTATGGGAACAATTTTAAAGGACAGTTTTAGAATACTTTGCTCAGGGCTGGTACATTCTGAGTATTTCATAGCAGCCGCTGGTGATTGTGGTGGAGACAATAGGTGGTGAACCTCATAGCTACAGGTAGGCTGTAGACATGAGCAGTAGTTCTGAGAAGGTTGAATAACTGCCATTTTCTATACTGTAGGTTAAAATATGTGTGTTAAAGTGAGTGGGTGTGCTGCATGCATGAACCGGTAAGATGCAGCACAGAGTGAAGTTGGCCTCTGCCTCTTTGGGCAGCTATTTCCCTACTTTTTTTGCTGTGACCCTCTAGATCAGCGGTTCTCAACCTGTGGGTTGTGACCCCTTTGGGGGTCGAACGACCCTTTCACAGGGGTCGCCTAAAACCATCGGAAAACACATATATAATTACATATTGTTTTTGTGATTAATCACTATGCTTTAATTATGTTCAATTTGTAACAATGAAAATACATCCTGCATATCAGATATTTACGATTCATAACAGTAGCAAAATTACAGTTATGAAGTAGCAAGGAAAATAATTTTATGGTTGGGGGTCACCACAACATGAGGAACTGTATTAAAGGGTCGCGGCATTAGGAAGGTTCAGAAACACTGCTCTAGATGCTTTTCCTCTTGTCCATTTATCCCATCTTCGGAAATTTGGGTAGAAGAGTCAAAGAATCCGAAATAAGGAAAGCATTTAGGTTCATTTTTTCATACATCAAGTCTTATATGCAGATTTAAAAAAATATATGTTTTTATTGATTTCAGAGAGGTAGAGAGAGAGAGAGAGAGAGAGAGGAAACATCAATGATGTGAAAAAATCATTGATCGGCTGCCTCCTGCATACCCCCCCACCCCCTCCTGGGGATTGAGCCTGCAACTTGGGCATGTGCCCTTGACCAGAATCGAACCTGGGACCCTTCAGTCCGCAGGCCAACACTATCCACTAAGCCATACCGGCTAGGGTTGCAGAAGTTTTTAATATGTGAATTTACCCAATTTATTTTTATGTTTTAGAAGAAAGTAGTACTTTCCATTTGCTTAAAAAACTTTTATTTTCAGTGTCTCTGGTCCAGAATATTTATAATATAGGATGTTCCAAAAAATGTATACACACTTTGAATAATTATTAATTCCAATGGGTTAAATTGGAAAAGAAACATCAATTGAACTATCAAAAATATGTATGTGTATATATTTTTGGGACATCCTATATTTAAATGTAAAGAGTAAATTGAAAGGGCTTTTTTATATTATGCCTCAGTATTTTGAGGAAATTAAAAACTTGTGTTCTTAAAATTGAAAAAATTCTTTTTCTAAGATTTAGCTTATTAGGTAAAATACTCAAGTTTGTAGTAACACAAGCTTACCTGGACATTTTATCACTTAAAACACATATTGAAAAAGTTCATGGGGCAAGAAGAAGGCATTTTCACTAAATATTTTGTAATACATTTAAGTGAAATTCCCCTTCTGTCTTCTCCCTTGCCTTCCCTTTCCTCTGCTTTCATTTGGGCCAAACCTACCCACTTCCGTAAATTGTTTTTTTACTCTTCTTTACATGGCCTAGGCTTTCTTGCCCTTATTAATTTAAAGATTACTTATACATTCTAACTGAATTACCTTCTAATTATATATACATACACATGCATATATACATACACATACATATATATATGCATATATACATATACATATATACATTTATTCTGTATCTTCCTGGGTTACTGAGATGTACCAAACTGTTTGCCTTTTGCTGAATGACTCCAATTGCTATGCTTTGTTAAATTATGTTTTGGTGAGTTTGTATTCTCCATCTTTTACGTTTGTATTCTCCAGTCAGTGTTCTTGCTGCTTTTAATGTACCTGCTTCTAGTAGTATTCTGTATCTCTTTATCTTCCAGCTTTTATTTGCTGCATTTAATCTACTGTGGTCTGGGAAAAGGATACTGAGATTTTAGAATATGTCCCTAAAGTTATATCTTTAAAATTATTATGTGCCATACTGTGAATATGGTCAGTGGGGATTTCTTATGAATAAAGCACATAAACTTTAGTACTTGGAACCGTAACAGTTCATTTTACTGTTGAGAGCCCTGTTTTGCTTATTTTCCAGTTCTCAGTTAGGTTCTGAATAGCTGAGGCTACTCGTAAGTGATTTCTGGTTAAGTGAGCTATATTAATCTTGGAGCCAGACAAGTCAGATATTTAGTTCCCTGACCCAAATGCAACTTGAATAATGTGATAGACCTTTATATTTGGGCAGCTGCAGGGGCTCCCTTTTCTTCCCTTGTACCATTTCAATGACTTTCCTTTCTCTACTGTTTTCTTCTCTCACATGCTTCTCTTTGTCTCTAAATTGATGAGATTGATGTCCTTGAGAGAGAAAGGAAGAATATAGCTTCAAAAAACGTGTGGAATTGTATTGCTTCCCTTGCTGGTATCACTTACCTCTCTCCTTTCCTTAAAATACATTTATGAACTTACATTTTCTCCTGCTGCCCTGGTTTCGATAGAGTAAATAATCTCTATCGAACACACAGCGATTCTCTACACACCTCAACTTGAAATTTGCCCTATCTTTACCATTCTATATATTTCTTAACCCACACGGCTCATCCTCTCCCTACATCTCCCTCAGTCCCACATTCTTTTAGATCTCTAGCTCCAGGCCTTCTGAGTCTTACCAGTGGGGGGAAAAGCATTAAAGTGAGGGGGAGGCAGTCCCAATAAGAAGCAGGTATGGGGTAGGGGGGAATCTCCTCATCTCAACTCGAAGTCCTGTCAGAGTAGGAGATTGAGAGGAAGGAACTCCGAGAACATTTTTCTTACTGGGAATTGATGAAAAGAGTGCTTGGGTTCTGCATATATGAGAAAGTGGATTAAAAACTCTAAACATCCAAGGAAACTTACCTACAAAGCATGTGTAATGTATAATTGGTAACCTTTGTTAAGGGATGGAATTTATTTCGTTATGACAGCTTTTTAACAAGCAAATTTTTGGTACTTTACACACTCAGTTATATTTTTTCCTCTTGTTTCTACTAGGAATTTCCATTTTTTACCTTGACGGCATTTCCTCCTGGATTTCTTGTGCACGTTGGAGGTGTTGTTAGTGCACGCTCTGTGAAGCTTTTGGATCGTATCCACAATCCTGGTACGTTCTTTAAAAGTTTGTTTTTGATGTTTTATTTATTTAGACTATGATTATTAAAGTTGATTTTTATAATGCTGTTTTTAAGCCAAATTTATCTGCATGAGAAATGAAAAATAGTATAAACTGACACATGTAGCTTTTAAATATTTTCACTGACCTTAATTAAATATAAACTTAAGAAGAAGTATAATTTAGTTACGTTTTTATACAAAATAAAAATACAAATCTTGATTCACTTTTGGCCAAGGGAATCATTAAGTATCTTTTAAGTCCTCTATTTTCTTTGAGCCAGGCAGATACAGTTGACCCATTGCGACCATTAAATTAAGGTGTTAGTTCTTTTGATTGGCAATAACTCTTTTTTATATTTTCTGGCAATAACCCTTTATAGATTATTTGAGTTATTTCCTTATTCCTAAAAGAAGTATTCTTTTAAAATGTAATTGTAAACCTGTGTAGAGTACCTAAGAATTAAAAACAAAACTGTCCGATTCCTTGGATTCTTTTGGGTAGCTATTTGTTCTGTATAACCGAACAAGTAAGAATGAAAGCTCACTTCTTTAAGACATGGGCCATCATTATAAAAGAAGAAAAGCATTAAAGTCCCCGTAATTTCAGGCCCTTAGGTTAGAAATGGCTTGGTGATTTTTCTTTCTTTTATTTTTTTTAATATTTTTTATTGATTTTTTACAGAGAGGAAGGGAGAGGAATAGAAAGTTAGAAACATCGATGAGAGAGAAACATCAATCAGCTGCCTCCTGCACACTCCCTACTGGGGATGTGCCCGCAACCAAGGTACATGCCCTTGACTGGAATCGAACCTGGGACCCTTCAGTCCGTAGGCCGACGCTCTATCCACTGAGCCAAACCAGTCAGGGCATTGGTGATTTTTCTAAATCTAAAATAAGCATGATATGTGGTAGGAACTTTTCGTACGGAATGTGTTCTTGCATCTTTCTGACAAGATGCCCAATCACTTGCTCAAGGCATTTATTATTTTAATGTCATACCTTAAACCTGACGTTATACTAATATTCTTATTTGGCATATATACATATATACTTTTGAAAAATTTAAATTGTCACTTCTAATGACCTCCTTCTGAGGCCTGTACTGACAACTATAAAAAGAGTGAAATGCTTTGAAATTATTAATGCCAAACATCGCAGATAACGATTTTGAGGATACATAAAATTACTATTCTTTTAAATTAAATACAGTAATCTGTGCCCTGTGGTTTGATGTCATTTATTTTGAGTTACTAATTACAGAGAAACAATGGAATTTTTAGACTCTGAACAAGATTTCAGAGAAGCAATACTAGCTGGGATTATTTATAAAAACTCTAAAGCTGAGTGAATATATCTTTTAAGCATCAGTCTTCTTTTTTTGTATGATTTATTATTTTTCCCCCTGTTTCTTATTTTTCTGGTCAATTTAAGAACTTTTCCCCCCTCATATAGTATTTGTATATTCTGCAGTAATTAAAGGCAAATTTAGACTGATGGCAGTTTAATGAATTGAGACCTTGAGGACTATGCAAAGTTTATATTTTTGTGTTTAGGAACTTGAATTATTTGGAAAGTGCAAGGAAATCCTGGTTTAGATACATGACACTAACTATATGACCAAGGCTAGTTGCCTGTTTTCTGTGGGCCATTCACTCAAATATTTTGAAAGATTGCATACACTTATATAATTACTTCAAAAATGATATTAGGAATATATTCAATTATTGGTAATGTCTTTTTATTTACATTTTCAAAAAATATTTATTTATTTTTAATCCTCACCCAAGGATATTTTTTTCCATTGATTTTTAGAGAGAGTGGAAGAGAGAGGGAAAGACAGAAATATCGATGTAGAGAAACACATCGACTGGTTGCCTCCTGCATGAACCCCGAACAGGGCCTGGCCCGGGGAGGAGCGTGCAACCAAAGTACATGCCCTTGACCAGAGTTGAACTGAGACCCTTCAGTCCTCAGGCTGACGCTGTATCCACTGAGTCAAACCGGCTAGGGCTTATTTACATTTTTATTGTTGCTTCCATGTACTCTGAGTAAGTAGTATGCGAGTCTGGGAGAACAAATGAAGGTTATTTAAATAAGTTTAAGTAGAGAGCTATATTTAAAATCATATTATTTTGTACAAAAAACTGCTTTATGGGATCTGTTGTACTTGTCAGTATATTCTAGCTGTGCAAGAAATGTTAAGAATCCAGGCCCAGAGAAGAAAATAGGAACCCTTATTAAGAACACATTTTGTATACTGTAATTACTAGCTCATTCATTCTTTGCCTTTCCTTTCTTTTCAGAGTAGTTTTTCAATTCACATATAGAAACTCTTAGTTAATAATGGGCTATTTCCCAAATGATTATGGACATAAACATATAAATGCTTTAATGGTATATAAGTTATATTTTAATTTTGTTTTATCTTCAGTTAAATACGAATCAGTTGTATATTCTAAAGGTTCCAGTGTTAATTTGACATAGATATCACATTCTTTTGACTGCTTAGTACATCTTTTACACTTTAAAAAGAAACATTTTCTTAAGAACATTTTCTTAATCTTCAGGCCATTAAATAATTATTTATGAAAACATTTCAATTTGTTGAAAATAGCTGAATGTTAAAACAAAACAAAACTCTAGATTAGCATCTACCATAATGATGTTGTATTAATTTCATGACACTGAGTTCATCTGCAGGACTTAGGATGAATTGAGATACATGTGATAATGTTAAAAGTGCTGTATTTGCACTCTCAAATGAATGCTGCAGCAATTTTTTTTTGACTAGTGAGTACGGGAAATTTGCATTTTCAACTGAGTGTAGAGGAAAAAAAATCTTATTTTAAAACCACTACCACCTGCAAATTCTATGGATTATTATTTTGGAGTTATTTCTTTTGAACTTTCTCCTTTGTTAAGTACTTAGCAAACCAGGTCATATAATAAAGGAACAAATGGGGTGGTTTTAAAAACCAAGGTAATTATCTTAAATAATTAAACTTTAGTTAATGTTAGATTATGATAGCATGCTCCTTCTTCTCTTTCTATTTCAACTTCTTATTAACTCTGCTGTCTGTGTCTTTCCAGTTCCTGTCGAGTGGTGTTGTCAATTGTGTTCTTGTTTATAGTTTGTTTTTCCCCCCCTACTATTCTGCACCTAAAACTGATCTTCTAATTTGCTGTTTTGAACTCAGCCTTTGTCGGAATTATGGGTAACACAAGATCTTACAAACTGCTAGACTGGAATAGTTTCAATTCAGGTATTTTAATGGTCATTCAGTACTACATACGCTGACAAAAATTATGGCAGCTCAGTGAAGTTTTTAGAAATGTTCTAGATTAAATAGGTTTCATATCAATTCAGTTATATAGATATATTCTTCAGTACATATATTCTAACTCTCATAATTTCCATGGAAATGCAAATATAAAAATGTGTGAACTAAAATGAATTAATTAAAACCATAGAAATACCATAAATTATAAGTGGCTTTTGTTAGGTGACTGACCTTCAGAATAATAATTTTAAAATATGTTATGTTTTGGACATTTTTTTCATATCAGGTAAATGACACAAGAATTAACTTTATGGTTAAGGAAATATTAAATATAAGCATTAAATGACTAGCTTGATAATCTTAAAGTATATTTAAACTTCAATCTAGATTTGAATATAATGTACTTCATGCTCTATAAATATGATAATAATGTAACTGTTAGCATTTTTATTTATAATTCTAAAAGTGTTCCAAAATTTGGTAAGAGCAGATTTTGGGAAGATTAACAGCTTGCATAAGCTTTCCTCATTCCCCTTCTACATGAGAATATACACTTTCTTTTTAATTACTTTTACATACAGATATTGTTTGTAGCTTTTAAAGAAACTAAACTAAGATAACTTTACAGCTGATGATGTGGTTTAAAGTCAAAGTCAGTTAATTTTTCTTTCTTTTCTTTTTAAAAATTAAATTTATTGGGGTGACATTGGTTAATAGGACATGGTCTGTATATTGCACTGCACTACCCAAAGTCTAACCATCCTCCGACCCATATATTAGGCCTCCTCCACTCCCCACTCCTACCTCTTCCCTCTGGCAACCACCACACTGTTGTCTGTGTCCACAAGTTTCAGTTTTATATCCCACATATGAGTGAAATCATATGGTTCTTAACTTCTTTTGACATTCTTATTTTACTTAGAATAATGTTTTCGATTTTCCTTTTTGATAAAAGAATTATTCTTTTAATAATACAGATATCTTAATTTTGATGTTATTTACATGTTAGAATTAAACAGTAGAATCATCTTGATTCAGTATCAGAAGCTGTTATTTTGCCTAAAGAATCTTTTCAGTTCTTTGTGTCAGAAAAAACAAAAACAAAAATCCAGAAGCTCACTTTTTTAGATAATATCCTATAATCTTTTCAATATTGTAAACTGTCTTTGTTCTTAGGAGGCCAGGATTTAAGTTCTGATGTAAGTAATGCATGTTTGACTATGAAGTAACTCATGTTCATCATGCAGATTTACCTAAATTCAGTCTAGTAAACAATCTGATCAGGTCCAACCTTTGCAGATTTAGACTGACATCACTTGGTAAATCTTTAGGGGAATTATCTCTATTGGCTATCCAAGTTTTGGCCAGCATGTTCTCACAATGATTAGAATGAAAATAATCATTTTTAATGTAATGCTGTATACTTAGTTTTTAGTAAGGAATTAAAAATACCCTGTTTGATTCCTTTAATAAATAAGAATATATATTTAAAACATTAGGGAGATTAGTATAGTGGGAAGAAAAAAAGCTTATTATGTAGAAAAAGGACACTGAGAGCAGATTAATCATTAATAATTTAAAGAGTTGAAACCTTGTCAGGGCAGCGATGTTGAGGGTGAGATGTGTGTGTTAGATGATAGAACAGTCCTGAAAAGCGGAAAGGGCAAAAGATAAGTCCTATAGACATAATAAAGACTTTGTCCCATGT